CCCCGCAGGCCCTGTCCTCAGCGGCTCCCCCAGCCCGACGGGGCCTGTCGCCAGCCTGTCCCAAGAGGGCGCTGTCACCGGCCTCACCCCGTCCTCTGCCACGGCTCCGACTACCACCCACATGCGGCGACAACCAGATCTGTGCCGAACGTGCCCACGTGGGCTCCTCCCGGGCACCCCACACCCAGGGGTCCCAGAGAAGAACCGACACTGTGCACTCGGCTTGTCCCTGGCTCAGCCAGTGACACGGCTGGCCGCCCGATGGCCCAGCCAGACACTCGACCCTCCCTCTCCTTCCTCCCCGGCGGGTCTGTCATCGGATCTTGAATCCTCCGCGGCTCTCCGGCCCGTCGCCAGCCCCCCAGGCGACGCTGGCTGGAAAAGATGCGCGAACACCCCAGGACCCCCGCCCCCCCGGGCCCACCTCACCTCAGGACGATGCCCACGCAGAGGAGAGTTCCGAAGACCAGGCTCCCTCCGGCCACCAGGAAGGTGTGGAGGGGCACGAAGGAGGCGGCCGGCCCTGGGGAAAAGCAGACACACAGACACACCGCTCAGCCGCGGCCACCGACAGCCTCAGAGGAGCCTCAGCCCTGGGCAGGAAACAGCTTCGCTAACCAGCAGGCCACTCACCACGGCGCCCGCTTCCTGGCTGAGGCCAGATCTAGAAGAGTCCCCCCGACCCCGCCCCCGCCCCCAGCAGCACCTGCCAGACCCCGGATACACCGAGACGCGCCCGAGCGCGGAGCTTCTGACGCCTGCGGCCAGCCACACGCTCCCGCTCACTTCGGGTGGCTTTTCTGGCGGTGATCAGCCTGCCCCACGAGGCACAGAGGGGGCCTCCCTGATGGCAGCTCCGCTGAGGACAGTGTCGGGGTTTTCGGGGCTTTAAATCAAGTATCCGGGTGCAGTGCTCGCCGTTGGGGCGGCATCTCTCGCCTGTCTCCCCGGCTGGTCCTGGTTCCCCCGCACGCCCCGTGCCCTTCTCCCGGGGCATGGCACCCCTCACCCCTGCCTGAACGCTGGCCCATCTCCGCTGCCCCCTTCTCTGTCCAGCCCCAACTCGGCCTTTGGGTCTCAGATGAGGCGAGGTCACTTCTTTTGAGCCGTGAGCCCACTCGAAGCTGGGTGGCACCCCTGCGGGCTACTTCTCCAGCTACCCCTCTAGTCTGAGCCCCGGAAAAACAGGGCCCCACCTGTCACCATCCCTCCCAGCTGCTCACACGAGGCCTAGCACAGAGCGAGCTCACCAGAATACAACTCCAAACGAATGAGAGCAAACTCGCTCCCCAGCAGCCGGGTCCCTTCGCAGAGGGGTTCTGCCCGTGGCCGCCAGAGGGGCCAGGACCGGACGGAGCGCACCTAAGCAAGACCGCCATGCTCTCTCGCTGAGGGGGCGGCCATGGCAGCCGCGTGCGCTCAGGCTCCAGGCTCTCCCGTCCCCATCACTGATGAAGTCCCGCCCCCAGGTGCCCCCTGGGTGCTGGCTGTGCCACAAGCCCACCCGGTAGTGGGCGCCGACTACAAGGACTGGTCTCTCGAGTCGGTCCCATGTCCCCCGGCAGACACAGCCACTTCATGGAAGGCGTGGGCGTGGCTTACTCATTTACTAGCTTTTCAGCACCTTCTGCATTCGTCCCTGCCTTTGTTCGTAAATATTTACTGAGTGTCTGTCACACGCCAGCTTTGTTCTAAGCCTTGGGGATTCGGGGGAGTGAGGACAGGAAAGCCCCCTTATATTCTAGCTCAGGGAGACAGACAGACCGACGCGTGCATAACGCAGTATCAGTAGTGACGAGGACAGCGATGAAAAATAAAGCACGGGAAGGGGAGAGAGTGACAGTGGGGGGCTCTGTCGGGGGGTGGGGGTCGGGAAAGGCCCCCTGAGAAGAGAGCCTTTGAGCAGAGACTCGGATGTATAAGAGGAGCTGGCCAAGTGGAGGTCAAGGTAGAGCACGCGGCAAATGCGAAGGCCCTGAGGTAGCTCAGGTATGGGCGGAGGAGCGAGGGGAGGAGGGAGAAAGCGAGGTCTCAGGCGGGGGGCCTGACCCCGTAGGGACCAGGACTTCGGCTCTGACTCTGGGGGAGAAGGTCTGAGCCCGGGAGAGCTTGAGTTTGTCTCCTGGACAGGTTGAGTTGCTCTGGCTGCAGTCAGAAGGGTCTGTGGGGGTTAAGTCTAAAAGCCCATGGACCAGCGGGCAGCTGGATGCTCCACAGCAGTGGCAGCAGTAAGAAGCGGTCAGCCCTTAGGCGTCTCAAGGTCCAACTGGCAGGACCTGCCGGGGGACTGGACACGGGACCAGGGGTAGAAGAGGAAGCATGCCTGATCCCCAGGGCCCGAGCCACCCACAGGACGTGGTGCCAGCTACAGAGACGAGGAGGCTGGAGAGGTAGGGAGGCGTCAGGTCTGAGGTTTCTAGCAGGCCCCCCAGGTGAGCGTGCTGGGCAGGGCTTTGCAGCCAAGATGCTGCAGCCAGTCAGGTCAGGTGCCGACAGGAGTTCGTTCTCTCTCTCTCGCTCTCTCTCTCTCTCTCTCTCTCTCTCTCTCTCTCACACACACTCACACGTACACACACAGGACCTGTGGCCTTTTCTTATGCAAATGTTACAAGCTCTCCTGGCTTTGCAGGTACAGAACCTGTGACCTCAGGAGCTCCCAGAGCAAAATCTCTCAAGTTTCAGGCCCACGGTTTTGTTCACGGGACGTTCGTTTCTAGCCATGAAAGCGCTGGCTGATTCGCCCTGTTCTTCTTAGGGTCCCGTCCTCACATGGAGCTGAGCTAAGAGGGTCATGCTTGGACGTGCGAGGGAATACAAGGCTATGTCTGCCACTGGTCCTTTTCGGTCAGCAGACCGGCCCTCTGCCCACATCTCCAAATAGTAAGACTTCCTGCAGAGGCCAAGCCATCTGTGCCCCCGGGGCCACAGGGACACAGCACCAGCTGGCACTCACCTGGGATGCTTGTCGCATTTGCAGGTTCGTGAGGGAGCGTGTCTTCATCGTCCTCGTGAGTCGTGAGCGCCTGAAAGAGACGTCGCTCTCTGTGGGCTTCATTCGGGAGGCAGGTCGGGGACCCCCCCCACCCCAGGCACCCTCTCTCCATCTCCTGCACCTCTCCAGTCCTGACCTGTCACTCTGAATTTTCACTCTATTCTTCGCATCATTCGGACCTACGTGTTCCCTTCCCGAGCTGGGGCTCCTTCCAACCTGCTCTCCACCTGGGGCTAAAGGGCACGGCGCCTTCCGGGGTGTCCTGTGTCTGGTGCCAGGGAGTAGGCGCCACCACTCACTGGGAAAAGCCCAGACGGGAGTCCCGGACCCATCACTCACTAGCCACATGACCGTGGCCAGGTCCCTTAACCCATGTGGGTGTCAGCTGTCCTCCTGCCCCGTGCCCTGAAGCTCATTCGAAGTCGGGATCAGACGCGACGGCAAATGGCAGGCTCGGGGCCGAGCGAGTCTTGGCAGGCTCTCAGACAGTGTCAGGTCGCCCACAACC